AGCAGGGAGCCCGATGCGGGACTCGATCCAGGGACTCCAGGATCATGACCTGAGCCGAAGGCAGTCGCTTAACCAACTGAGCCACCCAGGCGCCCCCTATAGTCCTTTTTGAATCTTGTTTTCATATCCTTCTTATACAATCATGTCTTGTCTGTCTTGACATGTATAGTGAGTATCTTATTACTAAGAATTTGGTATTGACAAAAAACATTCAAGATGAATCCACCTAAAACCTAGGCCAAATTTGCATAGTAAAAAGTTGTAAGTTTCATTGAGAATTTAACTTAAAAAGTAAAACTGATTTTATCTTATACTCAATATAAGAGTTTAAAACTTTAACTCTGAATTCTTCTTTAGAAGAATAATCAATCAAATGATGAATTGGGGATGAAGTATACTTTTCTAAAAAGAAAAAAACTACGAGAGCATAATACAACTTTTCTTCAATGACCACTTGATCTAACAGCAGAATCACAAAGGTTTGATTCTGCAAAAAATATTCAAGCTCTTTAACAATTTTTCCCAAGGCCTTTCCCAACCCATTCAAATTATTCTTTTGAAAGATGTGTCCGTCAAAATCCTTGCTAATTTTCTTTTCCATTAGTACACTGGTCTAACTCTATCCGATCTTTACTTCTTAAGGATTCATAATTCCAACTTGGAAAGGATCTGCACTTGCACATCATCAGATTGCTATCTACAAGTTGGCATCTGCAAACATAATCCTGCAATAGAGACAGATGCTACTGTTAAACAGAGTAGGAGTTTTGATTGGGGATTAATTTTATAAGAGGTCAGTCCATCAGAGAGTATTTAGATATATTCTTTTAAACCAAACTCCAAACTCCCATAGGGATTCGGAAAATGAATGTGTAGAATTCGAGGATCCCTTATTTTCACTTTAAATGACTCACTTTCGTTGAGAGGCAGTAACGAGCATATCTGTGAGTTTTAGAACTTCTGTATGTAAACATGAAAAGTTTTGTAGAGAACTCTTACGTGATATGACATGGTCCATGTACTGAGGTAAATAAGGGGCCCAGGCATCGATGGCTTCTTTCCGCCCTGCCTGCTCAATTCTTCGCAGTTCAGCTAGAAGCAGGGCCTGGGCGGCTTCTCGGACCTGAGAAGGAAACGGAGCCAAATGAAAAAACAGGAAGCAGGTCAGTTGGTGAGGTGTTTAAAAACTAGAAAGTTCATCATGAAATAAAGCTAGGAAATATACAAGCCACATTTATTTACAAGAGAAAAACCACAAACCAAATAATGAATTAAGTACTGAATAAATTGGATATGAGCAAAATCAAAGACAATTTAATGAATGATCTCACTGAAAAATATTTTAACACTAATAGAATTATATTTGTACATTTATGCAACGCTGGGTTTAAAACTTCATTCTCCAAAGCTTTTTAAAAATGTAATATTCTTGCGCTTTAATTTTCACTTTAAAATTTCCATATAATTGTTAGTGTTAAAGGTCAGTTAGAACTGTTAAACTTGTCTTCTCTTTTAGCCTGAAGAAATTTAACCTTATCTAGTGAATTTCTTTATATACTAAGTAGGTATTGTTTGCACAAATACATGTGTAAATCCGCACAATTCCTGTATACCTAAGACACGTTTAAACAATTTTCTTCAACAAATGGCAAAATATATTCCTGTGTAATGGCATTAATTCTATAGAAGGAAACTAGTTTTCAAAGTTACATCATTTCAGTTTGTCCTTCAATGCGGCACACATTTATTTTGCAGTTTTAGTTGAGTTTTATTTTGGCAAATTACCACAAGCATGGGGTTAAAGAAGCTATTCAATTGTCAAGTGGTGTATCAATTTATTAACTCTTTATCACTGAAAAGGTAACTCAGCAATGTCTGATAAGAGTTTGAATAAAAATTGTTTTTAATTATAACTTTTGAAGTGAATTCAAATACTACTCAATGCAAAACCATGAAAATTTTAGTATGCTACGATTCCACTTAGAATTGAGGGAAGGGAAACCAGATGGGGGAAATATTTATATTTGATAAATTTAAAATCTTAAATGATACAAACTGCTATAGCTAGATAGATCAAATGCCATAATAAAGGAAATCTCTATCTATAAAACATTTCCAAGTCCCTGGTGATATTATATTCCAAGCGACGTCTAATACAGCATAAGTCCATTAACACAAAATAATAGCTACCATTTATTGAGCTCCTACCCTGTGTCAGGCTCTGTACTGTTTTACTTGCATTATCTGATTTGATCCTGACAGCAATCCCATGAGGAATACAGTATTATCCCCACTTTACAAATGAGCTTCAAACAGGTTAAGTAAATTGCCCAGGGTCACAAAGTTAATAATTGGCAGAACTGATATTTAAACCCGGGTCTCTTCGAATTCCAAAGACTTTCTTTTATTATAACACAGTATCTTCCATTGGACAAGGGCTATTCACTTAGAATTTGACTGATGTGATTATACCTCAATGTGTGATTTTGGGGGGAGGTGGGTGTATGTATGTGAGCATGCATGTATGTTAAGCTATACAGAATAATCTCTATAGAAACCGACACTCAAAGAAACAGTTCCATAAAGTATATGAAACTTTTGGTCAAATATTCACTGGATTAAAAAGTAAACACGCAAGCTGGAACATTACTGTTCAGTATATAAACTGAAAAAAAGTCATGAATCCATATTTTCTATCACATAATAAACAGGTGAAAAGAAATTAGATAAATATTAACCATTTCATTTCAAATTTACACTTGTCTACTGCTTTCATGTTTTTGTTTTCTATCCATAGCACATCAATGTTACCTCCAAGCATCGGTCTTGCCATCTCCGAGCCAGCATCTCTAGGAGTGGAGGCCTAAATTTATCCAGTCCCAGCAGGTCTGGTAGCATCACACAATGCATAGCAGCCAACTGACTCCATCCTGTTAAAATGTAACATATTACAAATACTTTAGCACTTTGGCATTGCCTAATTCAAAGATGTTTCTTTAAATATTACACCAAAAATTAAAAAGGGCAAATGTGCTAAATTATGCAATAAATGATTTCAATTTACTAGATATTTTATACAAATAATTATATCAAATGTAGTTTATCTCTAAATCATGTAGTTGATACTTATAAGAATTCTCAAAGTCTTAAATAAAAATAAACTTCCACATAAAGTATATATAAATTCTACAAGGAAAACATATTTCTAAACAGCCCCTCTAAAAGAAAACATATTCAGGATTGAGAAAACATAGAAATAAACATGTACTAGAGTTGCAGACTTGATACCACTTTCAGTTAAAAGGGCATTCACACAGATATCCAAAGATAAATTCATGTCTCTGAAGGCCTGGCCATCTGTGTATGACCATCTTTGTCGGTCAAGAGAGATTTCTTCCTTTGTCTGTCACAGGGCCTTTAATTAATACTTATTGATCTCTTATCTTACAAAATGAATCAGATATTTAATCACAATCATAACTAAGTAATATAACATCAATTTTGAGAGGAAAAATGAATTCAGACATTTCATAAAATAAAAACCAGATAATCCAAAACTGACAACATCTTAAGTATCATTAACTTTAATCTATGGGAATAAAAGTTATTTTTTCCAAAATTCTAGTCCATAATATGAAACTTGATTGTATGAAGAAAACAAACAATGCAAGCCACTGCAATATCTAAAAGTAACAATATCCACACATTCTCAAGTAAGCATTTCAACCCTGTTTTAAAGGTGTCTGAAAAATATATACACAATAAATGCCTCAGTCTTCCCAAATCATGTATGAAGCCACTATTAATCCACAATAATTACCATTACCCTCTGAGGATAACATTTAAAGACAAATAATCAAGAATTAATGCAAAAAAACAACTATCTACTACCATATACAAGGTGAATTGTCTGTGATCACAGAATTTTAACAAATCAATGTTTTGAAATACTCTAAACTGCAGTTTTCTAAAACAACAAGAACCCTATCATAAAATTCAAAATAATTACTGGGATTACTTAAAAAAAAGAGAGAGAATAAGTGAGTAACAGATAAGCCACCTATCTAAAGATTCATCCTTTCGTAAGGAAATTCTCATTAACTGAGAATATATAATTAAATAATTAAGGTGATGAGCACACACATTTTAGATTCCAATTTATTTTCAATAGAGGATATATATACATATATAGAGGATATATATATATATATATATACATACTTACACACACACAAATATATATATAAATATAAATTACAACCTAACAATTTCTTGAAGTGCTTCAATGTCTCATAAAAGTATGAAGTGTATTTATGAGCTGAATTTTAATAGGATAGTGATTCTCACCAGGTCCGAAGTCAAGAGCTTTTTTTTTTGAAATAACAAATTACTATCTTTCACAATAGCTTAACAAATTCAACCGTAATTATTTTTGCTAAAATCCAGTCTTAGCATACTAACCTTAGTATATGTCTATGACAGGGAAGCCAAACAAAAAATGAGTTATACTTTTGTGCTCCCATGTTTTCTTTCCAAATGAGTGGTACTTTGAACATGGGCTCTGTACTTTACAGATACTGTACCATTCTTTCCATTTGAATGGACTGGTAATAATGCTTTTTAGTGAAGAGTCAGAATCAATCTGGATTACATTTGAGATTTTGTAAATTTCCTCCTTTTTATATTATACATACTGGTGAAGACAGAGCCCACAATGAAGACCGTGAATATCACTCAGAGCTCACAAGTTCCATTAGGCTTCCAGGCAGTATAAATAATCCTATAATGGCTCTTGGGGAAAAAAGGTTTGTGGATTCCATTCACATTTTCAGAGTTCCAAAAATACTTTCAACTAGTGTAACTCCATAGGGATAATATGATAGCCTAACTACACCTTAAAAATTGAAATTATGGGGGCGCCTGGGTGGCTCAGTTGGTTAAGCAACTGCCTTCAGCTCAGGTCATGATCCCAGGGTCCTGGGATCGAGTCCCGCATCGGGCTCCCTGCTCTGCAGGGAGCCTGCTTCTCCCTCTCCCACTCCCCCTGCTTGTGTTCCCTCTCTCGCTGTGTCTCTCTCTGTCAAATAAATAAATAAAATCTTTAAAAAAAAAATTGAAATTATGGATTTTTGCCTCATCCAGAAACAGAAATAGTAAGGAGGATAAACAGGTGAATTCCTCTCAGTTTATAATCATTGGTGCTAATCAACATTCTGAAGACTTCTCAAATGATAATGTAAACAGACCCCCTCACATTTCCCTCTAACCTCAGAGTAATGATACATGCAAAATAGATTCATTAGTTCTAACACCAGAGATCACATGGCAAACATCATTATGAAAACCAATCCACCTTTTAATACCTACTTCACATCAAAGATTAGCATCTTTGCGCTTCTTTAATGGCATTCTAGATTACAAGAAACACAGTTTACACCAGCCAGGAGTAGCATTACATTTTCATAACTGGCCCTTATCATTGACATTAGCAAATAAAGTTAAAACATGGAAAATTTAGGATCTCATATATAACAAAGCAGATAAATGTATAAACTGGATAAAAAGAACATGTCATATCAGAGTAAAGCACAGACTGAAAGGGAGTTGTTAGAAAGTTGAGAGAGAATACCTTCATTTACTAAGAAACAGGTATGTAAAGCAGGAGTAGAAGCAGGGTCAGAGCCAGAGTGGTCAGCATCAGACCGAGCGGAAATGACAGGAGCAGGAACTTGCAGAGAAAACAGAAGAAATAAAGAGGAGAGAATTGAGGTACAACGGCTTCTGAAAAAAAGCTCAGTATTAGTGAAGAATGAAAAACAAAGTTGGCAAAATATAGTAAATGGAGAACTGAAAAATGATGTTTTCATCAGGAGGGCATGATCGTTGAGGATTACGGCAGGGAAATGATATATTTTATTGAATAGCAATCACAGTGTAGTTCAAATTCCTCTTAAAACCAAAATCTATTGAATACTCTAATTTATCGATGTACTAATTAATACAAAAACAGTTCTAAAACAAGTAAGGCTACAAGGAAAAAATGACAGACATATTAAGAATTAGCAAAAATGCAATTCAATATTTAAAATGTATCACATACTGAAAAGTTTAAGTTGATCCTCATATTGCCAATTACATTTTTCTAATAATTTATTTCCTAACCTTATGTGTAAATTTTTTATTATCTCAAACCAACATCCACTGAGATCACTTCAATTTTCCACACTCATTTTATAAAAATACAATTTAAAATCTGCCAACTTATAAAGAATATATATACCAAACAACTTTTGTGAGAAGAACCCTAACATAGCTTCATTTTTAATTTAAAAAATATTTTTATGATACCCATATTTTATATTATAAAAGTAATTATTGTGAATGTTCTAATCCTCATAAAATACATGCAACAACCCCACCCCACCCCCAAAAAAGTTATGTTACCAGGAAAATGTTTCAGCTTAAATTATCATATGAAAAGGCAAAAAGACCGTATGGCACACACATTCTACAACGGGAGGTCAATGTTAAGATTTAGAGGTCACCATGTGACACTTCCTTCCTATGGAGAAATTACCATATGTCATGCACAAGCATCTTCAAATTAATCCCTCTCCTTTCTTCTGTCATTGAACAGCAATAGGTTTGGGCTCCTGAACAGATTAAGCATTGTCCATTGAATGATATGTTTGTTTTTCATGCAGTGAAGTTCCTTTGTAACTACAGGACAGCTGCATGAAAACAACTTTTCATAATTTCCACACGAATGCATCATAATGTCAATCAGGCACGTGTGAGGTAGTAACCAGTAGAACTAAAAGTACATGAACAGTAATAAAAAACAGAAAATCCAATTCCATACACCCTAAGAAGCACATCTTGTAACCATAAAAGTCTTATCTGGGAAATTATAATTGCTTTTATTATCACAGACCTGTTTTTTATTCCTTATGAAATTATAATAATTTTATAATGTTATGTTTATGAACAAAACAGAGCTTTTCTTAACTGCACATTTCCTAAGATATAAGAATTCTACTGTAATCTTGCAAAGAAATCTCAAATATTTTTATGTTCCACTGAATAAATTTTTCATTTAAAAAATTTTTAATTACAAATTCAGTTATTATGGCCTATCAAATATTTACTTCCTCATGCAAGAAGCTGGCGAGCCTGGATGGCAGAGAGTAAATTTTCAGATTTTAGCTTTCATGCCACCAAAATTGTTCACAAAGTTCCTCTAGTGGTTTCCAACAACTGAGACACTTCTATAATTTCACTTTAAAAAAAAAAAAGGAGAAGTTATTATTATCATCCCTGAAAAGGCTGTGGTATCTGATTTTACTCTTAAGTGAGAGGACAGTAGAGTGAGAGGTGAGGAAATTAAATACAAATGAGTAAAAGTTCAGGACTGAGTGATCATTACCCTAGCCAGGTCAAGTAAGTAGTGGGATTAAACTCCATCTCTGTAAGTCACAAACATAAAGGAAACTAGAAATGCTACGGAGAAAAGTGCTAGAATAAGCATAATAGGTCTTAACAGAATAATGTTTAATATATGTAAGTTTATTTTAATGAGAGAAATAACAGACTCTTTTTTGGAGTCCTGTTTAAATGACAGTATATAAAGAAAAAGCCATTTACATTTTCCTTTAATAAATTCTGTGAGCACACACAAAAAATCAAGAATACTGTAAGAGAGATCAAGGACAGATTTACTATGCTTTAAAAATCTTGGCATCACCACCAAAAAATACTTCATTCAGACTACCTCACAGCTGAGACTGCAGAACCTAGAACTACTTTTTATAATTAATCGAGAATATTCAAATTAACTCTGCTTGAGCTTTTAAAACTGTCCACAGGTAGAAAAATCAGCAAAAGAGATTTTAAAAAGTACCACCCCCAAAACAAAAAGCTCGAGGTTTAATGACTATAATAAATCTGAAAGAAGTCATATGTAGCACTGGATATTGACAATTTACAGCATAGAGCATAAGCAAGCATTTGGTTTCTTAAAACAAAAAAGCGATGTCAATTATCCATTGGCTTCTCTTATTAAGGGTTAGTAAAACCTAAGGGTAAAAGTCTCAGCAGAGCTTCAAGTGATGACAAAGGTGGTGCAAGTTCTATTGTTCTACGTAGGAAACTTATTAAATTTTGCAGCTAAGAGCCTCTTCAACTACTCACTATCACATGAAAAGACAGGCAAAGATAAACGAACTGTGTGACAACATACACACCCACACATATGCTCTGGCCTCCCATTAAATAGCATCTACATAGCACTCAATGTTACAACACCCTTGGTTTTTGGTTTTTGAATAGGTCTCTTCCAGTCTTCATCTGAAATCTGACTCTGAACTCCATTGTTCCCTACTGTCATTGTGACTTGATAAAAACATAAAGGACAGAAAGTGAACATACTTTAGGTAGCAAGTTGTTGTTCTAAACCTCATTAGCCTCCTGGTACATAAACACAAATAGCCCTTTCAATACATTTTTCAATAAAGAAAATCTAGAAAGTTTTCTGTAAAACCAAATGCAATCCATAAAGAAGTTTTTCCAAAGCTTAACACTAATAAATAAATAAAATTATTTAATAATGAATCACTTTATCTAAAGTGTTACAGGATAATCACAAAGCTTCGAGACGGGAGGATAGAGAAGGAGGCATTCCTTCTGCCATTCAATGTAGAGATCTCAGAGCAACATCCATCTTTTTATAGATTTCCTTTATGTCTATACGTTCATGTCTTAGGGAGCTGAGCATTCTCATCATCTTTTAAGTCAACATGTAGCATTAGGATAAATCATTAATCAAACATTCTAAGGAAAAAGGATATCCTTAAAATGCTATGAAGGAAGAGCACAAAAAGTCTAAGGGCAATAGGGAAGCACAAGGTTCCCAGAAAATAGAAAGGATAAGAACGTACCATAAAGCAGAATGAATTAACAGCTCAAGATAGTGTTCTGACAGACATACATCAAGGCAAAATACAAAAGTGCTAATAATGTTTGAAAAATACAGTGACTCTACTTAACCTCCAGATCACCACTGGATTTCATCAGAATTGGAATAAGTTGAGATGTAATGATAATTTTACCTTGGCCTATAACTCCAGCCAGAGTCCAAAAAATAAAAATTAAAAAAATTTTAAAAATCCGCTTCTGTAAAAAGTCTCCTTCATTACTAACATCTAAAATAAATAAGCGAGCTAAGACCAAGCACCATGGAGGGAGAGTTTATTACAGTGAAAGGTAAAGTGATAACATGAACACTAACTTGAATTAGACATATGGAGGCTATTCAAATTTTCTATTTCATTTAATTAACAATAAGCACCTACTATGTGCCAGATGTTGGGCTAAGCATATAAAAAGTCATAAAGATTAGACAAAGATGCTGCTCTCAGTTACTGAGAGTCTGGCAGGAAAAGCAAATAACTAATTAAAATATTATCATCAACTGCACTCTCCTCGGGATCTCCTCCACTAGACATAAGTTCCATGAAGGCAGAGATTTGTTTTGTCAGCGTTAAAGACTTAGCAAGCACCTAGTTACTGACACATTGGCACTAGAAGCATAAAGAGAAGGTATCTATAGATTCATTCATCCAAATATTTACTGAGTGCCTTCTATGTTTCAGCTACTGTCCCAAGAACTTGTGTGAAATCAGTGAATAAAAAAGAACAAACAGAACAAATGTCTGCCCTTTGAGCTTCCGAAGACCAGTCATTAAGCCAATTTTTAAAATAAAAGGCATATAAGTTCAAACACAAAATTTTAAGGAGTCCTGAGGTCCATACATTGACCTGATATATGTACTCCATATTTCTTGCTATAGACCCTGGAAAAGGATGGTAATTTATATAAATGATTCCTGAAATAATTTAACAATGACTACCTCCTACTTCTAAATTTAGACAACCTAAATTAAATCCATTTCTGAAAAATAAAATAGCAGATACTGTAACATAATCTTATATATTTAAATTGCTTAGACTGGCTTCCACAACTACCACTGAGTAAAGATGCAACTACTAACATAGAAATAGGGTCACAATCAAGATAGGCACTAGAGACACAGACCAAGACTTATGCCATAACATTATTGAACTGATCAAGAGAAGTATGTCAGAATGTAGATAAGCCTACAGCTATGGGCAGATTTAGGGCTGTATAACTATGAACAAAAATTTAGTTTGACATTTCTGATCCCTTTCTCAAGTGAGATGTTTTATAAAGTACACAATCGAGTATCTAATAAATAAAAACTGTCTCTATCAAAAAGTATGACTGTCAGTAAATGTTAATGATTGGCAAAGACTGAATTAACAAGTCCACTGCTAGACAAAATAAAGCTCTTGTGAAGAAATTATTTTCCAGTGAAATACCCTGATAATATTTATGAGAAATTATGTTAGCTGAACTATCTATATCATCTTTATTCTTAAACCCAAATGTCTATGAAAGGTCCAATCCCCAGCTAAAGTCTTTACTCCATATAGATTATTTTGCAGCTGAACAAGTATTAGCCAACATATAAGTGACAGTTTATCGAAAAGGAGCATATTCATGTTTGCAATCCAGCTGGAAAAATGGATTGTGAGTCAATGTGCACTGTAGTGGGAGTCAGGAAAAGAATACATAAGGAAAAAGGAAAATGTTAAAAGAAAACCGAGCTAAGAGAAGCAGAGCAGAAAGACAAAAAGATAATACCCTAA